TCGGGAGCAGACCCCGGCCCGCCCCGCAAGGGCAGCGAGCTGGGGAGGAAGGGACAGGTGGGGCAGCGCCCTGGTCTCGAGCTGCACGGGCGCCCGGGCCCGGTCTCCGCGAGCAGAAAGAAGTAGCTGGCTCTGCTGGCCTGCGGCCGGGCAGAAAGCAAGGTCGGGAGGTACCTTGCAAACGAGCTGAATCGGCGACCTCCCTCCATCAGATTCTGGCATTATTTAATTCATTCATCATTGAGCCCCCCCTCCCCCCCCCGGAGGTGCCTCAATAAAAACCCTCTCTGCATTTGGAGCTCATAAATTACATTGGGGGGGAGCAGGACCCCATTGCAAAAAGGCGTTGCCAGTCGGTGAGATTATTAAATAATAATCCAAACGCAGTTTTTTGGGTTTATAAGTCACCATTCGCAGCCGATGATTTTCTGGGAGGGCTGGTGAAGTGCGCTGTTGCTCACAAAAGCTTATCCATCTCTGATTCAGGTGGCCCAGTGATTCTCCAGTCGAGTAAGCAGCCCCCTGCGTGCCTGGGGATTATTTTAGGGTGCTGCCACACAATGTTGGCTCTCTTAAACATGCAAATGGGATTCACAAGAGAAACTCAGAGATTTCAAATCCAGGAATTCATGGTGTTAAAACGAGTTTGACTTGCTGTGGTCTTTTTGAGTTCTCTGCAACAGAAGAACTGCTCTGTCATTTTTCTGTAGTCCACAAACAAGTGAAAACTAAGAGCTGACATTTTCCAAGGGGTGCATTTAGTTAAGGAGGGGTGGCTTGAATCTAAAAGGCTGGACACTTAGTCTATAAAGTGCATCTCTATTCTGCCTTCTGCCTGATCTTTAAAACTCTATTACAATCTAAAGCATTAGCATTAGGACTGTATTGATTGATTTAAAAACTGACTGAAAAGAAACGGAAAGAAAATATTAGATAGAAAATATGTTCGTTATTGTAAGCAATGAAGTATACTTCCACTTTCCTGTGCTCCTAATGATATACATGAAAGCATCAATAAACACCAAGAGATATTTGAGTTCAAGGTTGAGTAATAATAAAAACAGCAACTACTACTACTACTTAATGCTCATTTAAATAGACTTGTTGAATGTACTAACATGTTATCAGTGATCATGGTAATGATGATAATTTTTTCTTGTCTCAGATTAATCCGTTCCTTTTCTTTCTTTCCAAGCAAAGAAAAATAGGCCGTACTGAGATTAGAATATAACTATATACACTTTCAACAGCAACAACTTTGATGCCTGGGTGAAAGGGCCAACGGCACTGGCTTACTAAGACTTCCTTTCCTTGTCATTTTTCCCCCTTCTGGAAAATGCTTAATTCAAAATGAGGAACTAACATTGAAACCCAGAACTTTCAAGGGTCTTTGTAAGCTTAGGCTGTCCCTGCAGAAACTACAAGGGTTTTTGTTGTTGTTTGCTTACTATTTAAGCTCATTATTTTGTACCCTGTCATTATAAGAAAATTAGCTCATATACAAGACTATTGTAAAATCAATTCTTACTCCAAGGATCATATATAACTACAGCTTTGCAGCTGGAGATGCTCTCCCTGCGAGAACAGTATCTGGGAAATGTATGGCAAAAAGGCTGTCTCGCTCAGGCAAAATGATCCATGAACTGGATATTTTGTCTGCATAAAAAACTATTATTTCTATTTTATTAGTTGTTCTGTCTGGTTGCTGAATTCTGCACTGTACTGTATTCAGCTGTACTGCATTCAATACTGTACTGTATTCAACAATTCCTGACCCAGGGATCATACCATGTAATGGCTGAGAAACACACAGGATAGTCCATAATGTGTATATATGCATATTAAAATTTTGAAATCGATGTGCTTAAAGTTATGTGCAGATGTATAGGGACATAATCCATCCCCAAATCCACTTCTTGTAATAGAAATCAGAATGCAAGAATCTTACTAATTCACACTAATGAACACAAGACCCCATTACAAAATATGAAATATTTTGAATTACAAAATAAGTTAACAAATACAACAAAAAAACAGAAGAATGCATCAACAGATATACTTTTTTCTATTTATTCTGACAATTACAGAGCTTGGCTTTAAGTACAGTACAGAATATTTTGTAAAAACTATTTTTGTAAAATTAACAAAATCTCAGCCATGCAAGTCCTAACTATCATGGTAACTTTGCTATTAAGGCCTTCCTGAGAGGTGTTCAGAGACTGACAGGGTTTTTTTTTTTCCTATGAGGAATATAAAGTGTGTGGATCAGACAAACACAGACTAGAAAGGTTGAGGGGGTGTGTAGCAAATATCCATGGAGTAAAACCTACTA